CAGGCCACACCTTCTACCCTGTGCCATGTTTTTATCTAGAGAACAGAAAACTAAGCAAGCAGAACATTTCATCTTTTTCATAAATGCACAAGGCGTAAACATTTCTTTTTTTCAGTACAGGGGATTATACCCAAGAGCACTCTACCACTGAGCTACATTTCAGTCATTTTTTTTTTTGGAGACAGGGTCTTGCCAAATTGCTAAGGTTGGCCTTGAAATTGTGAACTTCCTGCCTTGGCCTCCTGGATCTCAGCTAGACAGAAACATTTCTAAAAAGTGGAGCTGCTCTCACGTGCCACTAGCCATAGAAATAAACCAATTCCTTTTACCTGGGTTGATATGTGATTTGTGACAGCTGGAGAGAGAGAGGTTCAAAAATAACCTCCTTCAGCCTGGGGTTGTAGCTCAGTGTGAGACACTGGGTTCAAGCCTCAGTACCACATAAAAATATAAACAAAGTTTTTGTGTCCATCCACAACTAAAAATATTTTTAAAAAATAGCCTCCTTCAATATTTAGGGTATGGCATGAGCCTAGCCTCCTCCATCATTAGTTCATTAGAAAAATTAGGTTGGGAACTGCTGGGTGTGGTGGTGCATGCCTGTAACCCCAGCAACTCAGGAGCTGAGGTAGGAGAATCACAAGTTTAAGATCAGCCTCAGCAACTTAGCAAGACCCTGTCTCAATAAAAAGCGCTGGGGATGTAGCTTGGTGTCAAAGCACCCCTTAGTTCATTAAAAAAAATCAGATATTGCAGGATAATTATGCCATGATACAGGTGGAACTTGCTCTTGGAAAACTAATGCTCTTATGCATATTCTATGTTACACCAAAGATGGTCATTTCAGAGTATAGCAGTATTGTAATAATATTGGGAATTGTACTTTCTCTGTAGCAGTGAAACCCAACAATGGTACACGAGAGAGTGGGCTTAAAACAATGCCTCATACACTCTCCTACCTGTCCAGCAAACAAGGTGGCTACAGGATGTACTTAGAAGCAGACTGGGAAGGAAGCTGAGGAGCTGAGGATAATGGGCCTCACCCAGCTCTAAATTTAATATCTTAAGTGTTGCTAAAGAGGCAATAAAGACAGAAATTGTAGAAAAAATGTATCACATGCCTTGTTATCCATTTATTAGAGTTTTCTTTCTCAGCACTGAGTTTCCCAGGTTTGCTCCTTCAGTGCCAAAGAAGGGTAGCTTGCTGCTCAGTTCTGGGAATTCAGCTGGAATAAAGAAACTGAGCCTCGGGAGACAGCACATTCCCTCTTCCCTCAGCCCCAGGAGAGAAGGTATTTCTCGCTTCTTGAAGTCATTTCTGGCAGTGGTAAATTGGGAATAACCATGAAATATCACTCTCAGTCTGTTCTTCACTGTGGAGATTTGCATTAAAATGTAAATAGTTTTCTGATTAACAAAAGTCTTTTAAGACAACCATGTGATGCCTTCAGAGGCTGTGACTAGAGGCTTTAAAGCCTGGCCTGTGGCCTCTCAGAGGCTGCTTGCTAGCTGGTTGCCTTACTTGATCATTTGTTGTCCTGGTAATAATATTTAAAGCAGCATCTGTGATTTCTTTTTTTCTGAAAGAATAAAACCCTCTAAAATTTTCTTATTTTAATTTTGGCTGACCAGACAAACTTGATGTCCATCTCTTTTCCCGTCACATGGCTAGTATAAATTAGTGATGTGCTCCTTGTCAGACCCACAAGGAGCACTACTGTCATTCAGCTCATCACACCAAGTTCAGCTGACAACAGCACTCGAGCAGAACTGGAGACAAACTCACCAGCTAAATAACAAAGGAGAGGGACTATTTTCAAAAGGGGTTTAAAAATATTAAGCACCTGTATATATTAATTCAGACTTTTTCCCTATAATTTCTGAAATTGGAGAGGCCAGGCAATGCTCTCACTCCACTGGCTTACTCCCCTTAGTCCTGGTGTACGGATACTCGGAAGCGCACAGGGGACTGTGCTTGGCTCCTGGCCACAGCAACGGGGTCCTTATCCCCACTGACCACTCGACGTTATACTGAGATGACATCCTGTAGCCTAATCTTTGCTATAACGGTGAGATCATTATTCCTGTTGAATACATTCATCCCAAGGTTGGCTCAGTGGGGACAATGGTACATCTTTTTGTTCTTTAAACAAAGTTCCTACCCACCTACCCTTTCCAGGTCCCTGGGATCCTACTTCTTGCTTTGTCTCACCCCCAGCTGCTGGCGTATTTAATAACCATGCAGATGTGCCAGAAAAACATTTAGTGCATTCACTGTAGGTAGATATGACTGGACTTTTTTTTTTTACTGTGACACTTGAGTCATGTTGAGTAATGAAATAAACAGAAACTAAAATGCAAAGCAAGCACAAGAATCATCTCTTAATCCATGTCTTAAAAAAAAACCAAACACTCTCAGCTAAGGAAAAAATAAACAAACTTATGCCCCCTTTCAGCTCGCTGACTCTCAAAAGAATGACTGACATCATCTCATTTTTAAAAAGAGCTTTTAAAACAGTGACTCCTCTGCTTGCCTTCCTAGAAAAGGCAATTTTGCTCTTGATTAATGTTTATTGTAGAAAATGAAAGCCAAGGAAGAAATACAAAACGCTTCTAATTAAAGAGTCTTTTAAAACAACCGTTGAGTGTGAGAGTGCTTGTTTATCTGGGAGGCCCCAACCCATGCAAAGAAGTCGTAGCATCACCTGGGACACCAGGCAGATAACCCAGTAAAACTCTTCCAAGGGTTCACATAGGTGTCTGGAGATGTCACTATGCCCACAGTGTAGAAACCAGCATAAAAAAACAAAAAAGAATCACAGAGCTGGGAGGGAAATGCAGAAATCCCTAGTCCAGCTGCCAGGGGAACCCAGGGGAACCCAGGGGAGCCCCTCTCACAAGGCTGTGTGATACCACCCAGAATCCTTTCCTGCCAAGAGAGGGACCAGCTTACTGGAAGACCTGCTCCTGGGAAGGAGCAGCCTCTTATTTCCACTGCTGGAAGTTCTATCCCAAATAGCTTCTGGGTTTTTATCAGTGGGACACCTGTCTCCCCAAAGGACTACCTGTCCTCTTCTGTGCCAAGGAATTACTCTAAGCAAATAAAGTCCCTTTGCTGCATGTCAGGCCTTCAAATATTTGAAAACAATTAGGACATACTTCCAGCCCAAACCTTCCTGCAGCATGAAGCATCAAAGCTGGAGAGGTGAAAACTGGTGTCTGAGCTAGCACCTATCTAACTGGTCTGGACCTTCCATCTGACTCATTTACTGCAGGCTTGGTGTGAAACATATAAAGGCACAAGTCACTGCCCTTGAAGTACATGCAATTCAGTAGACATCATCTTAGTTAATAAACATGCGTGCCCACTAGTATTAGGATCTATTTATAATCTGACCTTGTTCCAGACAAAAGGAAAAAAATCCATGTTTGTTTCTTGCCAGAAATATAAGAAAATGCTTTATAAGTATTTCTTAAAAGCATCAGCACTCTAATTAACATCAGTATTGCTGTTAATGCATTCTGACAATTAGGGTAATAAGGTTAAAATCAATTTTCCAACTTGTGACAGACCATAGTTAAGAACCCAAAATGAATCAGCTGTTGTAAGTAAAAGAATTCATTTGCTCCTTAAGAGTTAACTCTATAAATATCTAATTTAAAAAAAACCCTATTTGTTAAACTGATATATTCAAACGTGTTACAGTAAAAATCTGATATACCCAAATAATTGTCTTTTAAATTTTAAATATATTTAAGCTTACTGAGTAATGATAATATGCTGCAGAAGAGCAACAAAAACATTTTAAGGTTTTTCAGTAGTGTGTATACAAATGTATGTGCACTATATATAAGATAACAAGCCAGAAAGTCTTCTTTCAAATCTTTTTGGAACATTCAGCTATTTAGGTAAACAGCCCAAAGAAATACATAAATTCCAAAACATCTCTGGAGAGAAAAGTCACTTTAAATGTTAGCATCTTTCCCCTTACAATTCAATGGCGAGTAAACGCTGGGAAATTCTTGAATGTGCAAAAAAAAAAAAAAAAAAATCGTTTAACAAAATAATAAATTTCAAACTTGACAGTTTTTAAATGACAATTCTACCTTTAATATTCTTACAGGTTTCTGGAAATGCTTAATAACCTAAGTATTACACTCATCTTGGTAGTTTATATTCTGTTATAAAATCGACTGCAGCCACCTACATTACAGAGCATGGTTATATTTTTCCTTAGGCCACCTCGTTTGCATTAGTGGACTAGATCGTACTGCTAAATATCAAAGCTTGAAATCATTCAACACAGGTCAGTGTGGAAACGCAAGTTAGAGAAACTAGAGTAATTCACTGTAGCGGACGACAGCTCAGTAGCCAAGCTTGACTCCTCTGCATATGTGCATTATGCTCCATTTCAAAAGTCACAAGAAAACCGTTAATTTAGGGTAAAACTCAAGCTCGCCCCGAAGCTTCGGAGAAGGCCTGCAAGGTGGAGTACTTACGTAAAGGGTTACCAGGACGCCAGGCACCACAACTTACTAGGGAGGGTCTCGAACGTCCACAGGCGGAAAGCAGCTCCCTTCTACAGGCCTGGAGGATTCGGACGGGCTCCTCCCTCCAGCATCCTGGACCCAGCCCGGCCAGGCCCCGGGGCGCTCCCGGTGCACCTGCAATGCGGCGCCCTGGCCCCACGATCCCGCCCCGGGCTGGCGGCGCGGCCCGGCCAGCTCTCCTCCCGCTTCGTCCCGCAGCCCGTGGGGCGCCCTCCCCAGCGCGCCGGGGTCGCGGAGCCGCCCCCGGCCTCTGCCCCGCTTGGTTTCCCGGGAGCCGTCTCTGCCAGGGACTCCCCTGCCCCGAGGAGCCGGCGTTCCTCCCTCGAGCCTGGGGCAGGCGGGGACCCCCCGGCGGGCGGCTGAGTTCAAAGCCGAGCACGCGAGCTCGGTCCCCACCGCGCCGCCAGGTGAGCGGGGCTGGACTGGGCGCGCCCCGGGCCCCGCCTCACCTGCGGCGCGGCCGCGGCGGTCCTTCAGGCGGCTCCGCGGCTCGGCGCGGTCCTCCAGGCGGGCGGCGGCGGCGGGGGCCCGCGGCCCATGGGCGGGGCAGGCGGCGGGGCTGGGCCCTGCGGCCGGCGCCGGGGGAGGTCAGCGGGCGCCGCCCGTCCGGCGCATCTCTCCGGTCCCAGCGAGCGCTCGCCGCGATGCACCCTGGGAGCCGGCCGCGCCGAGGCCTGGCCGCTCTGACCCGGCGGGCGGGCGCGGCGCCGGCGCGGCGGCTGGCTGCAAGTGCGGGTAGGGGCGGGGGAGCCGATCGGTACTCACTCGGCGGGGAGGGGGCAACGCCCCACTCCCCGCTGCTGAGGCAGGGCGGGGGCAAGGACCCAGGGGAAGGGAGGGTCGGGCGGGTGGGACGCAGGCGCACTTGCTCAGGTGCGGCCGCAGTGCGGTTGCCCTGGGTAACGCGGGCGGGGGCAGGGGGCGGCGAGGGAGGCCGGCGGGAGCGCGCTCGCGCCGCGGTGGGGGCGGGGGCGCGGGCCGTACGGCGCGCATGCGTACGGCCCTTCTCCCTAGGGGCTCGCCGGCCTCCTGCGTGCGCACGCGCGCCGTCCCCCGGAGGCGTCTGGGTGTGCGGAGCGCGCGCGCGCGGCTCGGAGGCGCACCTGTGTGGTGTCCCCGGAGGAACGGAGGGTGGGCGCGCGGAGCCCGCGGCCTGGGGCGCTCGCAGCCCGCACTTGGAGTGAGTTGGCGCGGCCGGGCCGTGGACTCCGTATTTTCTCTCCCGGCTGGGGGCGGGGAGCGGGCCGGGGGCTGGCGGGCGGCGGAGTGGACTGAAGAAAAGGAAAACAACCCATCTCTCGGGACCGGCCTCGAGCCGCGCCGGTCCTGGGGGTCGCGCGGGAGGGAAGGTCAGCGCGGCGCTGCTCGGGCAGGCCGGGCTGGGAGGCCGCGCGGGGCCTCGGGTGGCGGCCGGGGGTCGCGGGGGGCGGCGGGGCTCGGCGGGCGGAGGCCGCGGGCGCCGGACTCCCGGGCTGGCCCATTGTTGTAGCGGCCGGGGGCAGCGGAGCGCGGCGGCCCGGAGGCCGTGCGGTCGCGCCGAGAGCGGCTTCAGGGGGTCCCCGGGGAGCGGCCATGGCCGCGCGGGGCCGGGAGCCGGGCTGCGGAGCGGCCCGCTGCAGGGTGCGGTGTTGTTGCTTGCAGCGCGCAGGCCGCGGAGCATCGCGCTCAGGTGATGAAGAGCGCGTCGCGCACCCGGCACAGGAGCCAGCCGCCGCCGGACGCCTCCATTGTTTGACCACGCCAGGCCGGCCCTGCCCAGGTGAGCTGGCCGCGGCGGCACCCCTCCTGCGCGGCCTGCAGGCCGGCCGCTCCCGGCGGGACCCGCTGCAGCCCTCGCCTGCCCCTGCCTCTGGTTAACTCGCGGTGCCCCCTCCCCGACGTTTTTCCTTCCGGATTAGGCTGCCGTGTAGCCCGGCCAGCTCACCCCGCGTCCCCGCAAAACTCAGCTCCTTTGTGAGACCTTTCTTGCCCAACTCTACCAACTAAATCGAATCTCTCCAGCAGAGTCTGCTCCGTATGGGCGAGCTGCTAGTTTGATAACTGGCTGTCTTATCGCAACAAAGGAGTCCTGGTATTGAAAAAACTATTTCCAGGCTATTGCCTTCTAAAGGAACGTTTTGTGATACTTAAAACAGTTTATTGTTTTATCAAGATCGAACTGTTTTTATGCATTTTGTCTTCTCTTTTAGAGGGGACCCCTAATCCCTTTGTAGACGCAAAGCTTTTCAGAGCAGGGAAGTGTGACCTTGTTCAACCTACCGGTTAATTTAAAATTTAGAAATTAATTTTGGATTAGTAGAGTAGTTCATTTTCTTTGTACACACCGGTGTATCTCAAGAGATGGCAAGACTTTGACTATCACCACCACCCTCTGCAGATAAGGACTAGGATGTGTGTGCTGTGTGTCCTTCTGGCTTTTTAAAAATACTTGGAATCATCTTTGATTGTTTTAACAAGTATCAGCTAGCTAACATACTGTCTTTCAACTTCAGCATTATGTGCTTCAACTAATTTTTAAGAACTGCTGCATCATGTTCTGTAGTTTGGGTATACTGTAATTTATTCAGCCATTTCCCAGATTATGACAATCTATAAAGTTTTAGCTTGAAAAATAGCTTTATTTGGTGGTGGTTGTTCTCTGGTGAGATGCAGTTTTAGCGAAGGGAGAAATTTAGTGAAGAATGAAATTCTGTGCTAATTACAGAAAATAGACATTTATGGTGGAAGTTCCTGGGTTAAGAATCTACATGTGGGAGCCTCCAGCCCTTCTGTGATACTACTTACAGGTCCTGTGACCTTGGGAGAGGACAATTACTCCAATCCTCAGTTTTCTATAAACCCGTGTTAATACTGCTCTCTCTGCTTCACAGAGTTCAGTGATACCATGGGAAAGTGCTTGGTAGAACCCGAGGTCGTAAACAAAGATTGGTTTTATTAGCCTTTCCAATCCAAAAATTATCAATTTGCAGTATGATTTTTTTTGTCATGTTTGTATCAGAATACTAGAGATGGCAACTTTGAATGATTTTTTAATTTATGGTTTTGCTATAACTGATTTTTGTCGAATACTGGTAATGCTAAAGATTTCTTAAAGAATATTTGGCAAATCACATTTTTCCTAGCGCTTTTTTTTTTTTTTTTAAGTTGTCAACGGACCTTTATTTTATTTATATATATGCAGTGCTGAGAATTGAGCCTGGGCCTCACACATGCTAAAGCATTCACAACCCCAGCCCCCTAGTACTTTAACATGCCTTAAAAAAAAAAAAAAAAAGTGAGGCATGTAAATTAGTTGACTGAATCAATGTTATTAGCAAATTAAATGCTTGATAAAACTTCTATTGTAATAGTTAAAAAACATTTTCTGATGATGTAGATTGTACACACTAAAGCTAATCTGAGTCTGGCAGCAGCAGACTCAGATTAGCTTTAGTGCTTCTTCAAGGGAAAAAGAAATGACTTCTTACTGAGTTTGTAAGCACTATCACATCATTTCATCAATTTAAATTTTGATGAAATGATTTGATAGCTACACAATTAATGGCTTTGTAGATATTTTCCTTTCATATATATATACACACACACACACACACACACCTGTGGTATGGCCAACAAAATCAACTCATCCCTGCCCTTTTGAAATTAGGGCTGTTCAGAAATGAATCTCACAACTGCACTTCTGCTCACAAAGTGGTATCCTGAGAGGCTTGGGTAGTACCAGCTGTGAGAGAGGATGAAAATGGGTACTGCATCTTAGATTGGGGAGGGGGACCCAGGAAAGACTTGTGCAAAAATAAAATTAAACTGAAGTTTGAAGGGCGAGTGGGCGGTTAGTGTCAAGTGATGTAGGGGATAATTTTCCAGGCAGAGGAACAGCATGTGGGAAGGCCCTGAAGGGGGAAAAAACTTTGCCCATTCCAGGAACTGAAGGAACAACTGTGGATAGATTCTAGTGGGTGAGGGGGGAGAGTGGCTAGGCATGGGGCCAGATCATGTAGGGTCTTGTAGGACAGGTTAGGGATGTTGTGTTTTATCCAGAACATAATGAGAAACCATTAGAAAGGTTGGGTTTTAAGCAGGGGAGTGACATAATCAGATTTGCATTTTTAAACAACCACTCCAGTTGCCACATGCAGAATGTGGGGGTGTGAGTGGAGCATGGAAGTGGGAAGAACACGCAGACTACTTCACAGACCTATCTAGAGGAGTTGTGTCATTTCTTGGACTTTATAATGAAGTCACGCTACCACCTATGGTTTAGTCAAAATAGATGTTTGGTTTAAAAAAACAAAACCCCCTCATTTCTTACTCTAAAAAGGCAGGACTAAATAAAAGTAGGAATAAACAGATACTTTTTAAATGTACTGAAAAAGTGCACATAAGCATGAAATCAGTTGTCCACACTTAAAACAAAAACTGTCAGAAAATCAAGTTAAAAATTAGAACATTGTTTAATAAGTTTTGACAAAGCCATAACACAAGTGAAGTAAAGATGTAAAATGAAAAAGAAATATTTGTAGACACTGTTGACTAGGGAAACGTGCCTGAGTCTGCAGTGCATGTATAAAATTCATAGTTGAATATCCAAAGTAACCCAGAAGAGAATAAAACAAAAGAAACAGAAAATGAACTCTGGCCACATTTCAACAACAATAAAAAACAAACGAACAACAACAACAAAAAAAACAGTGAAACATGTAGGTAATGTGGATGCAGCCTACTGAGGAAATACTGTCTGCATAGAGGTGGTCATAAAGTATCCTGAATGACTTGAAGGAATGTTTTTGACGTAAAGAGAGGCCACATTCCTGGAAGTGATGTTTAAATGTCATGGAGATGGCCATTTTGGGGTGAACTTAATAATTATGAGTACTGAGGTGGGTATTTATGAGTATTTAAACACCACAGAGCCATATTCACCACATCAGCTTCATCCTGACTTTATTAGATTATCTGTACAGGTCACTGAAACCTGCGCTCACCCCAGAAATAACCTATTTTATATGGAAATCTAACACATGATAAGTCATGAGTGCCCCCTAAATCTGAAGAAAACAGAAGTCCCTATCAAACATCTGAAAGGAGGAGACCTGTACACTCAGCACAGACTTTGTAGTTAGTTGTACAATTGGAGACTTAAATAAGGAAACAAATCTCTATCTTACGAGTGTCATGAGAGTGAGAAACAATGGAGAAAATATAACAAAAAAAATGTATTCCACTACATAAAAAGTAAAAGTTCAGAAGAAAAGGAAAACAAAACCCTACACAAAAAAAAGTTACCACAAAATCAGAAAATACTTGTGTCAATAAGCAAATGATCTTTAATATAATATATAAAGTCCTATCTTACAAACAATTGGTAATTACTATTCAGAAGAGTTAGATTCTATTCTCAATAGCAACAAGACTAGAAGATAATAAGACCAAAGCATGAATGAACTAAAACTTTATGCAGAACATTAAAATCTTATTTAAATGATTTAAAAGTTAACCTGAGTAAATGGGCAGCCCTTGCAAGGAATTCATGATATTCTTGTAGGAGAATGAGATAATATGAAGGAAGTCTATTGCGGCATCATTTGTAATGAGGAAAAATAAAAACCAACTACCATAAATTTTGGTGCTGCTATACTTTGGAATATTACATAGTTTTTAAAAAGAGAGGCAGTCTTGAACGTATTGACATAGCCTAGATGGATGTCTATAATATACTATAGAGCCCCCACAAAATAAGTTTAATTCTGTTTTTTATAAGATACAAATGTTATGTATGTTATATCTGAATAAAAAGGAAAAGGTCTAGAAGAATCCTTGGAAAAGCATTACTAGTGATTACTTCTAGGGGAAAGCATAGTTTATTTCATATGCTTTAGCATTGTTTTAGCGCTTTTTTTGAACAAGCATTTAAATAGGAAAAAAAAGCTACGTTCAAAAGATGTAGAATTATTTTTAAGGGTAATTGATTCCCTAGCCACTAAAAATGTTCATGAAGAAAATACATTAAAATAGTTGTGACAGTGTTAAGTTGGAGAAAATCAGGATAAATAGCTGTATACGTGATGTATTAAACAAAAGTCCCAACAACCTTCCAGTAAAACCTATGAATGGGGGACTCGGGTTGTAACTCAGTAGTAGAAGGCTCTTACCTCGTACATGTGAGTTGCTGGGTTTGATCCTCAGCACCACATGAAAATAAAGGGGTGTGTGTGTGTACACAGACACAATTTGTAGAAAGAGTACTCAACAGGATTGACAGATACAAGATAGGTACAAGATATCTTGCATGTATTTATGTAGACATAAATAGACGGGTAAACTAATGAAAAATTATGGAATGGGATACTTCTATAAAGTATGAGGTTAAGTATGTCCAACTGCAACTAAAATAATATTTTTAAAAAACCTGTGAATGGAACATGTCTAGAAGAAAGTAGATGAGAATCTTAAGAATTGTGAGCTTTGGGTGGTAGAAAATTGGTGATTTAAATAATCTGCTTTTTTATATTTATTGAGATCATATCTATTACATTTATAACAGAACCTATGTATAATTTTATGTGTGCACTTTTTCAAAGCCACATAGAGGGGCTGTGGTTGTAGCTCAGTGACAGAGCACTTGCCTAGCATGTGTGAGGCACTGGGTTTGATCCTTAGTACCACATAAAATAAAGGGATTTTGTCCATCTACAACAAAATAAAATAAAAGCCACATAGATAACTTTGTAAATTACACTGAAAGCAGGATCCATTGAAAAA